ATAGTGAATAGCAGCAAGTGCTCATGCTAGCAAGGTAAAAGTTTTCTTCCTTTGGGTGTCAATGTGCCAATCGTCGCCCTTACGCGACTGGTCAATGCAATGCTTTTGCCAGATGATGGCACTGTCCAATGCAGCAAAAGTTGAACCAGATCCAACTTTCTCACCACACAGAGTTGTGTTGTTTTGCTGGAGCCCCCTGTTGTGATGGTGCTGGCTGTAATAAATGCAATCCACCATAGAAATGAATGGAGATGGCTGTGTTTTTTTTTCATACCTTTGAAGCTCATTCTGAACACAGTCCTAAGACATTTGCTGGGTCTTCACACATGCCTCATAAAGACCATTTCACTTCTTGCACCTTTTGCATGGCCCTTTTTGTCCTGCTATGCAATGTGAATTGCATTGCCTTAATCAATTTGCCACAGGTGGACACTAATCAAGTTCTAGACACATCTCGAGGATAACTGAAGTAAACAGGATGTACCTGACAACAATCTGGAGTGCCAAAACAAAGGGTCTGATTGCAGGTTTGTCTTTGTTAAAACATTTGCAAAATATCTAAAAACAGGTTTTCACTTTGTCATAATGGGCTATTTTAATTTTATCCATTTAAAATTCAATCTACAACACAAAATATGCAAAGAGTGCAAGATTCTGAATACTTTATGAAGCATGTGAAAATTTAAACATGAAAAACTACGATCACCCACTGTGAGTCCAATATGAAATTCATGTAAAACTGCTAGACATAGAAGCAAACATCACATCTTAATATACTTAATCTATGATGAAAAAATGTAGAAAAAAATCATCTGGACTTGGTTTTAGGTAGAAAGTTAATCTAAGATTCAATGTGAAGGGCGAGGTACTCCCTTTGTTTTAGCCCTGAGCTATAGTCCACCAAACCAACTCAAGTTATGTTTGTGTATATTATTAACACTGACACCATTAAGAAGATGGGTGGTGTGCCACATGTTTTAATTTCACATGACAGATTCTGATTTACAGATACAGAAACAGGCCAGAAGCAGTTACACGAGACATAGGGGGCACAGTATTTGTGACTTTAAACCCAAGCCATTGTGACTTTAAGGACAATATGTAATATAGAATGCAAAATGTAGGACTTTTAAAAAGGTGGAATTATTCCTATGCTTTTGTCAGATGAAACATCAATTTCTGGACATTCCTAAAGGGTCCCAAATTTTAAGATGAAGAAAAATTTATAAGATGAAGTAAGCCAAGCGCTTAGCTGAATAAGGTACAGCAAGCAACTTGAACCAGGGTTAAACAATGCATTTGTTAGGGACCATTTCATCTGTAAATTTAAACATATGTGGTGCACTAGTGAGTATTTATGGCACCAAAACATGAGTTGTCCTTTTCCACTTTTGTCTTTTAAACTCATAAGTACTATATCTTAATCAGCTTTACAAACATTGATTTTAACTGGGTTGCATTATATAAAATTAATACATGTATATTATCTATATTTGTTAGCCATAACAGAGGTCAGACAATCAATTCACACGTCAAATCTTTTGTTCCCAAACTGGAGGTGCATCAGACCAGGACACTGGAAAAGTATCTAGCTTTCTGTTTTGAAAATCACGTCAAAATATGCCCGACACATCTGTGTCTGTGTTCACAAGTTGAAACCAAGCAGCATGGACATGTTTAAAGTGGTGCTGCAAATACTGATATTTAGCATATAAGCTAATATTAGCCCTTAATGTAACACTGCATATAATAGGGAGTTAGGTATTTTGAAATGTCTTTAAAGAAGTGTTCCCTACTGTTTTTCAATTAAAAAAACAATACATCACAAATGCCACATGGGCAGTACAGTACATCCTCAACAACTGAGTCATCTAGCAGGCTGATCTTTTGCCAAGTTACTGGTACTGTGCCGGTTAGTCTCATCTCATCTTTGTGTAAGGATTACAGGGTTGTGTGCCACTCAAGTCGTGAGCGAAAGCAGCAGTAAAGTCAGGATGGATGTGTGGGTGGAATTGGGATTGGGATACAAGCGATTTGCAGACAAGGCAGAGGCAGAGGGGTTGGCGGTTTCCTGATGAATCGTTTTCTGTGAACAGGTGAAAGGACACCGAGTTCTTTTTCTACTGTCCTCAATTGTGTCATTTGTCTCCGTCACAGCAAAATACAGATGTGCGAGTTTGTTTTGTTTGGCGAAAGGAACAACCATGTGATGATCATTTTGATCTGATGCTCCTTCTCAACCAGACATTCACTTACAGGTTCATGAGGAAAGCTCCATTTATATGCTTAACATTTCACCTTTGATTAAAAGGTTCTACATGTAGCCTTTTGTCATCAATAAATCAATACAATATTAATTTTGAGACACCATAAATGACTAGTGAAAGCTCTATGGAAAGACTTCTAACATGTTACTCTCTCCAAGGAAGACAGGATAAAAAGAAACATGGAGCAATGCAGGAGGACAAACTTGCAGTAGTCCTAGAAGCATATTAGCCACTGTGTGTGGTCAGCTGAAACATGAAAGATATGATCAAGTGAATGCTATGCTAGTGCGGGAAGTGGGGTGCTGCCGGAGCTGCAGCCCCTTCTAGTGTTGGCTCTTGGTGGTAGCATCTTGTAATCAGCAAAAACTTTTTTATAAAGTTAAGAACAAACAGAACTTTGTTAAACTTTTGGATATAGTGGTTTAAAACAGAGAAATCTTAATGTGGGGGAAAAAGTTTTAAATTTGCCTATTTATTGAGGAAATGTTTGTTGCGAAAACTCCTCGGGGAGGCCTTCCACAGTCGGCAAGTAAAAAATGGTGAGCAACAGCAAGCAACAAATATCCAATGTTAACATTTCAAAGACCAAAATTAATGCTTCCATTACCAACATTACTGAGAACACAACACTGATAAAGCTGAAGCGGTTACAACAGTCAACATTCGCAAGAGCACCACAGCAGAGCAAGTCTGCAAGAGCAAGTGGCAGCAGCATCTCTGGGAATCAACAGGCCACTGCTTCTGCCTATGTTGGAGGCACTGGGCTCACAGGAGCTGGAAATGAGGAGGCTCTCAAGCCTTCAGATGTAAATCTTAAAGGCATCGTATCATGTTGTGGGTTATTTACTATTTATTAATAGTTTGCTTGATTCTGATGAGCTAAATGTTGTGAATGAGATAGTGGATCATAGCCAGGATCAGTTTGTCATATTACGTTAATACAAATCTGAGCTGAACAATAATTTCAGAAAACATCCAAATATATATAGCATATAAGAAACTTTAATTTTACACAAATTTTGTTCAAAAAACTGTGTTCACAAGCACGGGCACATATCCCAGGCAGTCCTGTCTGCTGAAAATACATTCCCGTGCACATGCATGTGAAAAACAGTATCCATTTGTTGATATGTTCTGGCCTCCCCTCCATCTACTAGCAAACACCAAGCACATCAAGCCTGACTTTAAACCACATGTCCCTCATTTCCCATCTGGTCCATCAAATAACTATCACCAATTAACCAATTACAAAAAAAAAAAAAAAAGATGAACAAGTCCAAACCCTGCAATGTGCTTTTACAGCAGCAGGCTAAAACACATCAGCTGCAGCAAATAATTAGTGGCACCAGAATATAAATTTGTGGCCTGAAGCAGTCTTTTCTTATGAAATGTTAAGTACGGTGATTCCAGCAGATGACAATAACTACATGAGAATTAGCTTAAGAGCACAAAAGTGTCTCTTTAAAAAGCAACATTAAGCGTAGAACTGTAACCCTGTAGAGCAAACTGTCACATAAATTCATTGTTTTGAAATTAATTATCTCTCCAGTGTTTAGCTGAGTGAACACTGAAGTGTGGAGAAAATGTCAATGTGACTGCCCCTTCTATGTGTAACAAATACCATGACAAGTGAAGACATTGTGAACTGGGTATAATTAAGACAGCTCAAGTTTCCATCCCCACTGCCAACACACACATTTTTTTTTAGTAAACTAGTAAAACAAAATCTTCTTAAAATAAACTACTGCAAAGTTAATTCAGCAGAAAACCATAATATATCCCCACACCATATTAAAAATGAATATTTATGGAGCTTCAATGAGAAATTACGAGTCACCAGATGCCAATACATTAACCCCAAACAGATCTAGGTGCACATACTGTGTGCACCTAGGCCGAGACCATCACCACCTACTGAACAGACATGTGCCGTCTCTCAAATCCATACTGTCTACAGTCCTTTCAGAGATCCCTGGAATCCATCTGTCTGCAGCCCTTTGCCACCATCACCACAAGCAACCGATTTACTCAGACCTGCTGCTTTGTCATTTTGTGCCTTTTTTAAAAATGTAACAGTGTGGCCATTGGCAACAAACTGACCAATCAATCAGTGCACATGATTAACAACATTATACCCCCCTATTAATATTTAGAGGCTCTTTGTAATTCTAGGCCCCGGAGCTTCAGGAAATCCCATGCACTGAACTCACAGTAGGCTACACTGTATATTAAACTTGATAGTACTGCACTGGTAAACTTTATTATCAATTTACTGTTATTTAGTTTTCTGGAGCTGTCTCACCACTATTCTCAATTTATTTTGATTTTGTGCAGCTACTATCTTGATTTCCTCTGTGGAGCAGCTTTTTTCCAAGCAAAAATATTTTGACATATCACAGTAGGAAAAGCACAAGTACACTAAATTAAACTAATGACAGCTAAATTGTGTTTGGCTGTTTTATGGCTCTGTTATTGTTCATGCTGGCTCAAAGTGAAGCTTTATAAGAACATGCACCCACTGCTTTTCCCACTGTCATGATGTTTAATATGTTATTGTAAAGCAGTTGTGTATATTAACATCAAAGTCAAAACCTAACTGCTTTTTTAACAATTGTGTTTCACGGTGGTTGCACTAATGTTACAAGAAAACCTGTCTAGATTTAGATTAAAGTAAAGAACTGGAACAGAGCCACGAAAGCGACATGAACAATAGAATAAATATCTAACACTAACCGTAGCTTGCTGAAGAGAAGAGTTGGGAAGATCCTCCAAGGTCCCGGGTCAGCAACAGGAAGGACAAGAAAACGTCTGCAGGCCTAAAGGAATTCCAGAAATTTCACAGTAGCAACATGAGGGTAGAAAAAACACCATTATTCGTTCACAAAATGGTCGAAACCCTACATCAATCAGTTCAGGTGCACCAAAGCGACACAACCGAGCAAAAAAAAGTGGGCGGGGCTTTATTAACTTCAACGAGGACGCCATTTTGCAAGGTGTGTTTTAGTCTTCAAAAAAAAGGCAATGTATGTGTTGGAGACAAAACAAATATACAACAAACTACAGATAAACTCCTCAGAATAATACTATACTAATATTTGTTAAATAAAATTTTAAAGACCTGCAAAAGTAAACAAATTCATCTTTAAAATGTCCAAATAAGGACAGACATTGTTTTCACTATTTTCTTTTGTCTTTAGTTAAAAAAAGCTCACAGGACAGTAAAAGACTATGGTCAGGTTGTGTTGAATTTACACTCAGAGTCAGTTAGATATATCTGAAAAATCAAATCCAGTTATAAATGTTACATTTATAAAGATAATAATGTTCAGATCAACTGTATTTTTAATATTTTTGGTAGTCTTTTGTTTATTGAGAGGTGTTCCTTTATAGGTTTTATTAAAATAAAATAGGTGGCAAAGTTATTGTATAGAATTGTTAACCTAATAACCAGGGAATGTATGATGAACAGAGCAGAAAATGTCATACTGACTAACAATACTTTGTACATACAGTGGGTACGGAAAGTATTCAGATCCCCTTAAATTTTTCACTCTTTGTTATATTGCAGCCATATGCTAAAATCATTTAAGTTCATTTTTTCCTCATTAATGTACACACAGCACCCCATAGTGACAGAAAAACACAGAATTTTGGACATTTTTGCAGATTTATTAAAAAAGAAAAACTGAAATATCACATGGTCATAAGTATTCAATAAATCTCTCTCCTAAATTTCCCATTTCATTGCTTCAGCATGACCGTGTTCAATAAGTAATTAAATATCAGACAAAATACAACACTAACATTTAGGTGAGTAGATGTGTTTACTGTAAAATGGAAATGAGGGAAAATAATTGTAAAAGTGACTTTACTTTTTACATCAATCATTATATTTTCTACATAATGTAAAATGCTTTGTACATTTACTATAATTTCTTTAACCTCTTGGTAAATGTCAGTACTGGATATAAAAATGCTGACACATCTCAGCCGTATGATTCCACTGGTCAACTGTGACATTAGTGCTTAGATGGCATTTAATGTATTTCTAATCTAAAATAGTTGTTTTCTTTGCGTCACTGATATAGCTGACCAAATTATTATTATTATTATTAGCATAGCCCGGCTAGACGATGGCAACAATCTGTCCACTCACTCACACAGATAGATAAATATGCACACAAGCATCAGTGAACATAAACACACAGTCACACACATCTGGAATTTAACTCAAAGCCACACAGGCTATCACACACCAACAGGATAGCTTATTCAAAGGCTGCAGCTAGTCCTGCATGAGCCCCAACTAAACTATGCCAGAGTGTCACTGTAGTACCCCATGACCCACATTGAATCCACTCAAAATGTGTGACAGCTGAAGGGTTAAATGCTGTGTGAGTTTCAGTTTGACAGTCGTTCATCATTTTTGACTTCATTTATCTGTGTGTTGTCTATAGCATAGTTTAATGTGTACAATAATCTGTTCTGTTCTCAAACAGGGTTTTTGGTCACTTTGTGTAACATTCATTTTCTACCGCTAAATCCCTGAGCGGGGTCACGGGTGGGGCCGGAGCCAATCCCGGCCAGCAATAGGGGTACACCCTGGACAGGTCGCCAATCCATCGCAGGGCTAACACATAGACAAACAACCACACACACATTCCTATGGGCAATTTAGAGACACCAATCAACCTAAGCTGCATGTCTTTGGACTGTGGGAGGAAGCCGGAGTACCCGGAGAGAACCCACGCAAGCACGGGGGAGAACATGCAAACTCCACACAGAAAGGTCCTAGGTGGGGCCCGAACCTGGAACCTTTGCGCTGTGAGGCAATGGCGCTAACCACTGTGCCACAGTGCTGCCCATGATATTTCAGTTTTTCTTTTTTAATAAATCTGCAAAAATGTCAAAAATTCTGTGTTTTTCTGTCAGTATGGGGTGCTGTGTGTACATTAATGAGGAAAAAAATGAACTTAAATGATTTTAGCATATGGTTGCAATATAACAGAGCGAAAAATTTAAGGGGGTCTGAATACTTTCCGTACCCACTGTAACTGTGCAATGTATGTAATAATGTAAAAAATTTGTCACTGGAAGAAATGCTTAAGAGATTGTCTGTGTTATTAATTGCCAGTACAGTAGAAATCATCAGAGTGGATGGCTACTAATAAATAAATACATAACATTTTTAAGAAAAACAGTTGAGTGCATATGCTAAAAGAGGCCAATGTATGAAGTGGTGACCTTCCTCCGATTCTCTTCTTTGTCTTTCCAGCTGAGAGCTCTCCTGTCCCTGATCTCTGGCACACATCAGCTGAGGTGTCCCTTGCAAGCCTCCTGTCACACAAAATAAATTGCCTTCACTGTGAATGGGTCAAAACAACACAGAGATGTCATTATTTCACTGCAATTGATCATACCTTGGGAAACACAAGTCAATAGTTTCTATAATTGCAATGTCTCCAGCCCCTCGAGGCTCTTCCACGAGGGCTTCTTTTTGTCTTCTTCCTATATGTTGTCTGAGATTCAAGAGGGCTGCACATTATTTTAATGTTTTGTGGAAGGTCTTTGTATGGTAGCTTTAAACTTCATACTTCACTTTAGCTCAGCATTTCCATTTTTCACCACAGCTTGCCAAAAAAAATCAAACTTTGTTATTTGACGCCAAAGACATTTTTAGTCTTGACTTCTTTTCACAGGAACACTAAGTTGTTTTGCCTTGGATGCCTGTAAGATTTTTAGAGGTAGACTAACAAAAGCAACAAGAAGTACAACATTCAGAAGAGTCAATGAACATAAACTGTAATGTTATAGTTTGCGCATATTTGTTTTTATTAAAAAAAAAAGACTGCTGACCTGCTGACATGGCAGATATAGTGCTGTTTTATCAGCTTATCTTACAAAATAAACAATTATCAGTTGTTAATATATCTGTTTTTTGTAATTCTTATTAAAAAGTTACTATCAGCCTACGTGTTTTGTCAGTACTTTGTTATTAACAGGTTCATTTTAAACACCCTTAAAGTCCTGTGCCAGTCTTCTGACTGATTGCAAACCTTCATGACCTTCATGTTTTATATCAGTGTAAGTGGAGTAAATGTGAGTTCCAGGCTAGTGGTTATAAGTAATTTGAATATGCTACTTGCACTTCTGACATGATTAAATGAAATTAATTGATTTTAAAAAATCATTAGTTGCAGCCCTACCCTGAATCCATGTGGCTAAAACAGTGTAGATTAAATTTATTGTAAGATCATTTGAGCTAAAATGATAAGGTTTGTTTCATTTTTCTACTATTGTAAATCTATATCACATAATTAAATCTACTACAGAGGCAGCTTACAGTACATTCATAAAATGGAGTCTTGCAGTGGTACTCCAACTCTAGACAGTGAAGTGAAAAATTGTGGCACTGTGCAGAGAACAGGCTGAACAAAAGGCAAGTGTGCTCAGACTCGCATGGAGTTTAATGAAAGTGAAGTCCTGTAGTGCTGGGCCAGCCAAGCCTTCTGTTGGGTCTCAGTTGTTCTGACACCACAGGCAAAAATGTGCCATCTACACAAGCATTCAGTTTTGTTGTGGTCCAAACACTACCAGATTTAATGTGTTCATCAGCGTTTGAGTTTTGCTTTCATGCTCTAAAGTTGCGAGAAAACCATTCTTAATGGATTGTTAACAGCATGCCAAACACAACATAAGGTATCAAATACAGGATCTACACACATCATCACTCCCTGATATCCTACTATAATCAGCAAACACAGACTAATTTACCCACACGCGAACATACAGACATATTCACGTCTCTATTGTATCAGTATCATCAGTCCCTAATCTAACCATCTGCTTCATTCTGCATTTCTTTTATGTTTAAAATGCTAACCAACTCTTGGCAAGAGGCCCTCACTCACCATCTCATATGCATCACAGCAAATTAATGAGTTACCTGAGAGGGAACATGAATAGAGCTTTTGTGGATCTAATGGGAAATTAAAAATGGCTAGCAGCCTGAATCAGCCTAACTTATGAAGAACGCTATACTGAGGTCTTTCTGGACCACACCAGAATTGCACCTAAACTGCCAGTGCACTGAGAAATAAACAGAGAGGCTTGCATGACAGTTCTGTAACTGGCAGCTATAATGAGCAATAAAGCACAAAAACAAGCTGGCATAAGTCAGTGAGGAGCATGAAACATTACTTGGTTTAGGAGCATTCCCTTAAGCAACAAACCAGTCTGTCTGTAATGAATCTGCATGCTTTAAATGGATCATTTAAAATGTAAGGTTTTATACTGAGATTGTTCGATCTGATTCACAAGTTTCTTTGTTCTGATAATATTTTACTAACAATAACGGTTTCAATTTGCTTGTTTATTAGCCTTTAATTTTTGACAAACTGTCTCCTGGGATAGTATCGCTTGTCAAAAGAGAGATATGCATTAGGGAATGATATATTACAAAACAATAAGATTAAGGTACAAGGTTCTTATTGTGAACAAACTCTATGAAAAACCTAAGTACATAAATCTCTGTAGCCAAAGCCCAACATAGTTTATTATATATAATAGGCCATAACTGTTGTCAAAACCACATTATGGCACATCTGTGAGCCACACTGTTGTATTGGGTGACATGTTCATTCATTATCACAAGCATGCACTGTGGCTTATTTATTGTATAATAATAATAATAATCATCATCATTATCACATCATTATTTATAGCTAAAAATAGTCCTTAGCAAATAACATACTTCTGTTTGAATATCATTTACTAAAAATTACAGTGCCAGGCTATTTTAGGAAGTTATTTAGCATTTTGGAAAAATAAAACCGTATATTTGTGGCCAGATTTTTAAAAATGTTCATCTTCATTAAGAACAAATTAGATTTGGGCTGCATGTCACAGAGAGGGTTATACTGAGAAACAGACTTACACCATAACATCAGCTTTAACAAAGACCAGG